CTGATCCATCTCTTGGCTTGTTCCAGTTCCAGCTTGCCTTTTCATCGAAAACCACATCTCGGCTCACTACAATTCTCCTTGTCTCTGGATTATAGAGTCTGTACGCCTTGGATCCTGGCTCAATCCCAAGGTGTACGAGCATCTGTGACCTATCATCCAACTTATTAAGATTTGCAGCTTCCACCTTTGAGTATGCAAGACACCCAAATACTCGTAGATGCCCTAAACTTGGTTTCTTCTCTCGCAAGCATTCATAAGGAGTCATGTTCTTAAGAGCTCTTGTAGGTACTCTGTTGATTACATATGTGGTGTGTCGAAGTGCTTCTCCCCACAAGTAGTTAGGTACCTTCATAGACTTAAGACTGCTCCTAGTCATCTCCATTAGGGTTCGGTTTCTCCTCTCTACAACACCGTTTTGTTGTTGTGTGTAGGGAGCTGTGAGATGCCTCTTGATCCCCTTTGATTCGCAGAACTCATAGAACTCCCTTGAGGTAAACTCTCCTCCTCTGTCTGTTCTAAGAGTCAATACTGCTCTTCCAAGCTCCTTTTCAACTAGCTCCTTGAACACTTTGAACCTCCCATATGCCTCACTCTTCTCCTTTAACAAGATCGACCACATGTATCTTGTAAAGTCATCTATGATAACAAATATGTATTTGTTACCTGCGATGGTTGGTGGCGAAATCGGACCACACAGATCTGCATGTAGAAGTTCCAATGGTCTTGAAGCTCTGAACATTGTTGCCTTAGGGAAACCTTGTCGAGTCTGTTTTCCGACTAAACATGACTCACACAATCCCTTTTCATCTCGAATCTCTGGTAGATCATAGACCATCTCCTGTTGTGACATAGCTTTCATGGTCTTAAAGCTTATATGTCCCAACCTTGCATGCCATCTCCAAGTCTCATCCTCTATCCTTGTGTTTAGACATATCGGCTTTCCAATCTTCAGGTTGACTTTGTAAAGTCTGTTGGGCGACCGTATGACCTTCACCAAGAGTCTTACACTTGGATCATGGAGAGTCAAGTAATCCTGCCTCATTCTGACATCACATCCGCCTTCAGTAGCTTGCCCCAGACTCAGAATGTTGCTCTTCAGTTCGGGTATATAATAGATATCTGATACGAGTTTCTGCTCATCCGTTTGCTTTGAAACAGAATCGATCCTTTTCCAGCTATTCCCACGCAAGAGCCATCTCCAAACTTCACTTTGCCCCTTATGTTTTCGTTGAGCTCAGAGAAGAATGCCTTGTTGCCTGTCATGTGATTACTTGCTCCATTATCTAGATACCAAAGTCCTTCTTCACCTCCTTTGTTTTCATAGTTCTTTGGTATTAGATTCTCCTCATTCAAAAACACCAGCTCATGCATATAAAGCGCTTCATCAGCTTATTCTGTCTCCACTTTATTGGCCTCCTGTGTCTTTGTGGTCGTTCAGGACAGGAAGATGCAAAGTGTCCAGCTTTATCACATCGATAACAAATCACCTTGGACCGATCCTTCTTGTCTTTTGTTTGGTTCTGATTTGTTGATCGATCTTGTGAGCTAGACCCTCCTCTGCCTCGTCCTCTGTTTCCTCTGCCTCCTCTACCACGTCCTCTCCCTCTCGAACTGGAACTACTTTGCTCTGAGTTTGCGTATAGCAGCTTCCCTTGCGTATCACCTTGATTCTCTTCATCGTGAATCCTTTCTTCATACGCCTTAAGCCTTCTACTATATCTTCGTAACTCGTCGTCTTTAGATCCAACACCTGCTCGAGAGAGGCGATGATGTGAATAAACTTGCTTCTTGGCAAACTGTTGAGAAACTTCGTCACAAGTTTTGATTCATCGATGGTTTTCCCTAGAGAAGCCGATTTTGAGGCTAGCTCAGATAACTTCCCTGCGAAGTCATCTATCTTGTCCAACTCGTTCATCTTGATCCTCTCGAACTCGGACATTAGGGTTTGAAGCCTTGCTTCCTTGACACGATCAGCTCCTAGGTTTCGTGATTTGATCGCATCCCATATCCCTTTAGGAGATCCTTGTTCGCCGACTTGCAAAATAAGAACTTCCGGGATAGATTGAAAGAGAAGCCCTGTTGCGATATCATTCTTGTTGGAATCGGTCGAACCAGGTTCGATCGTCTCCCACACCTTATGGATTCGCAGTAGAACTCTCATCCTCATAGTCCACACCGTGTAATTTGTCGCTGTTAGCATAGGGCATTGGATCGCAGAAGGAACGCTCTCCTTCGCGTTAGGGTTAGGGTTTGCAACGATATCTCCCATGCTTGGATATATCGCAGGTCTCAATGCTTCACCCTAAGCTCTGATACCAATTCAAGTGTTTAAAATCAAGAACAAACTCTGTTTATAAAGAATAACTCTCTTTATTATGTTTAAAAAATCTCTCAAAACTAAACACCAAAGTATGTATCTCTCATTGATGCAACTTCATCAATGACTTACATATATATAGTGTTAGGAAAACTTTCCTAAACACCTTTTCTTTTTTCTATTAGAACTAGATAACTCCTAATCTAATAAGGAAATATTCCAAAACCCTATCTAATTAACTTAACCGAATTGTTAAGGAATATGGGCTTTGGCCTTGATGTCGATGCTTACTCAACATGTTTTATTGGGCTTTTTAAACCCATGTCCAACTCTTCTAATTAGTATGATATTGTCCGCTTTGGGCCAAACTGACAAAGTCCACACGTATTTGATTTTGGACTCTTTCCCAAAAGGCCTCATACTAGTTAGAGTTGGACATTACTTATATACTAGACCATATTAGTCTAAACTTCCGATGTGGGACTTTGGATTGATTCCCAACAATCTCCCCCTCAAGCCAAAGACCATATAACTCTTGATCTCCAACCTACAACGATACTTAGTACCATTTTGTACTTCTTAATCGCAAGGTCATCTTGAGTGTTTCTCTCCCATACCAAATATTCAGTACAATCTCACTTCTCCAGGTCTACTTTTCCTTGACCTAGGCTCTGATACCATTTATTGGGCTTTTTAAACCCATGTCCAACTCTTCTAATTAGTATGATATTGTCCGCTTTGGGCCCAACTGACAAAGTCCGCACGTATTTGATTTTGTGCTCCTTTCCAAAAGGCCTCATACTAATTAGAATTGGACATTACTTAAATACTGTACCATATTAATCTAAACTTCCGATGTGGTACTTTGGATTGATTCCCAACAGTGTATGTTCTGAAAAAGAAATTAAAAGACTAGTTTAGTGAGTTGTAGATAAAATGGCACATGGTATTGTCTTATGAGAAGTTTTTTATTATGCCATTTTCCAAACAATAGACCGGACAAAGAGACCTAATAAAGACTTCTTTTTTTGTTCTGGTGATCATCTTCCGTAGTGTAGATGTGATTAAAGAAGCAGACAAGTGAAAATGGGACATGAGATTTGGGTCGATTTATATTAATTATTAAATGTGAACTAAAATTGACTTTCCCTAACTAAACAAACTTCCACGACTCTTCTTCTACCATGTTTTTTCTCCCATGTGATCTTTTTCTTTCACTCTTCTGGGGCCATCATTAATGCAGATTACTTGCCTAAGAACCACTTTTAATCTTCTTTTGACCTCTCCACAAGACTCAAAAAGGGTCTTGAGACAAGACGTATGCCCATAATAAACACCCGTACGTACTTTGGCCTGACCTCATTCGTGAAACCAAAAAAAAAAAAATTCTATCATAAATGATATCTCTTGGGTAGATATTTTGGGATTTTTTGTTAAGTTCTAAGATATTTTGAATCGGTCTAGGCTTAACAATTGTTTTGAGTTGGGTATTGTATGCGAAAACGACCATGTTACTTAATGTGTTTGGATGGGTTTTTTCTTATCCGATCTTACGATATCTTGATTTCATCAGTTCGGATAAATATTAGATAACATATATCACAAAAGCCATATTCACGAATAATGTTTAAGTTTGCTATATTCACGTTAATAAGTTCAACATTCACATGTTAATTACTCGAAACATGCATGTTAAAAAGCAATATCGAAAATCATCACAAAAGCAATATTCACGACTAATGTTCAAGTTTGCTATATTCACGTTAATAAGTTCAACATTCACATGTTAATTACTCGAAACATGCATGTTAAAAAGCAATATCGAAAATCATCACAAAAGCAATAAGACAAGAATGTTTGAAACAGATTAAGCCTAATTCGCATCATGGGAGACTACACATATGACGAGGGATTCACCTTGTGGTTCACCACTAGTCCACACAAAGCAGCATCAAATTTCTTTGGAATCGCAAACTCAATAGGTTTTAAATGATCAAGTTTGTAACACTTTCTATAATTTTCGAACAAAAATGCCATACTATTTTGGTTTGAATAAATTCTACGTTTAATTCAAAAAGGAAAGTCATCATAAAACCATGACATATAACTTAGAAGTCTGTACTAGTATGTCCATATGTTATTATCCGGGTTCAATCCGCGTATATTGCATGTGGTTGACAAAAATAAAAATGAATATATCACATAGATAAAATTAAGGGGTGTTATACGCGTTACAACAAATTCTATAGCTCGTTATTAATTAATGTTCTTAGGTCAATGTGTACACTCATCCAATAAGTCAAAAACATATCAGTCTTGGCATTAATAGCTGAAGACAGAACCAACGTAGCCATTGGCCACATGCACGTAGCCATGTAGGGCACACACTACTTCTCACCACCCCAACATTAGTTAACTACAGCTTCCTATAATCCAAATGCTTTAACTAATCTGTTTGCCAAAACCATGTCTTTGTAGGTCACACACTACTCATGATGTACATAGTTTTTTAGAGATTTATTATTGAAAGATTTCTTAAGTTCACCAATATATAGATAGACCTACATTTCCCTTTGGCTAACAAACCAAACTCAAACCTTCTCTCATCAAACAAGATCAGCACATCTAAACTTGAGCCATTTATTCAGAGCTTTTTTTTTGTTGTTTATTTCTAATACTAGAAATGGCATTCTTGAGGAGTTTTTTTGCCACCAAGCAAATCATTCGCCGGTCTTTTACTACTGAATCATCCACGCCGAAAGGATTCTTGGCTGTGTACGTTGGAGAACATCTGAAGAAGAAGAGGTTTCTTGTTCCGGTTTATTACTTGAACAAACCATCTTTCCAAGCTTTGCTGAGGAAAGCAGAAGAAGAGTTTGGTTTTGATCATCCAACTGGTGGTTTGAGTCTACCATGCGACGAAGCTTTCTTTTTCACTGTTACTTCTCAGATTCATTGAGCCTGCACAAGAATCAACTGGTTTAGGAGGCAATAAACTTTGTAAATATATTACATTTTTATATTTGAAGCTATACATACTGATGAGAGAAATAATTTGACATATAGTTATCAAAATAATTATTTGACCTAAATCTTCTGCTTTCGATTTCCATATTCCAGTTTCTCCATTGATATTAGATGCAAACCAATTGCAAACGCTCTTTGTCTCAGCAACATAATGATGCATAAATTCCGAGCATGGTTGGTGACTATGTTTCAACAAGGCAGTTAACAAAATTTGGAGCAGTTGTAAAGAAAGGCGTTTGAGTTATATTCTTATGCTTTGTTTTTAATTATTTCATAATGTTTTAGAAGAGTTATCTAGTCAAAAGTATAAAGAAAATGATATGAGCTGATATTTTTATGGGCACTTAAACACAAAGTCATAACAAAATTTCGGAAATTCACCCAAAATTCTTAAAATCACTTAAATATTTGCAAAAATCCAAATCATCAAATAATATAACTGTGGAATTCAATTGGAATTGAAGATTCACTGTCAATTATCTCCACGTTGGATGATGAACCATTATCACAGATCTCAAGTGAAATTCTACAATTCTATGATAATTGGTGGTGGTCTATGATTATATTCGGGGTTTCTTCGATGATTTTCAGTGTTCTCTCTCTGCAGGATAAAGCATTTAAGGGCATCATAGACATATTTAAGGGCCGGCTCTGAGGTAAAACCTGATAAAGTATTTTCTTTGGGCGCCAAAATATATTAACATATTTAAAGGCATCTATTTCCAAAAGTTAGCAGTGGTGTAGTGGTTTTATTCACGTTTAATCTTCTAGAGAAGAAGGGTTCCATACTGACTTGCTTCTTTTTTAAAATAATATTATGTATCATATGAGCACACATATGGGCTGTGCTTTGGGCATCAAAACATGATAGGCCGGATAGTTTCTAGCGGTGTATGAGTTCGTCTCTTAATCTTCTTGCTCTGGAAAGAATCACCATGGAGGAGACAAGGATTTCAGCCAAAGATACACATTTTTGTTCGCAAAAGATCAGAAGATTATAAGAAAAGGAAAATAACAGAGTACATAGGAAAAGTATCATTAAAATATATTCGGAAAACCACATATTTTTCCTTGAAACTATTATATAGTAATAAATTCATCCGTGTCATTTTTTTTAGAGATAGCTGCACGGCGCTCTAGGGTTCCTGGAAAGGCGATTCTGCATCTCTCCTCGTGAAGCCCAGATCTCGCCGCTGCCTCGCTCCGCTACCGTCTCTCACTACCCTGTGTGCCCCTCACGTCCACCATACGCTTGTTTTGCATTTTCCTTACTGTACTTTGCAGTTTTTTTTTCGTCGCTTCTTCGTAGTTGTCTCCATTCCCTCCGTTGCTTTCTTGCACCGCATGCCTTAATGCTTCGACGATACTCTCGCGAGGAGAAGGGCAAGGACATCGCCTCGTCGCACCGCTGGATTCGCGATCCCCCGATCCGCCTCCTGGATGAAGCCAACCCGGATTTGATCGAAAAAAACCGACTCACGCTGATCGGAAGAGTCCTTAACCCAAGTGTTCAAAAGCCAAAAGCTCTGATCGGTTTCATGCCTCAGGTATGGCGTATGGAAGAGAAGCTTGTGGGACGGGATCTCGGTCCAGAAAAATTTCAGTTCAAGTTCAGATCAGAGGAATATCTTCAAGCCGTTCTCAACGAAGCGCATTTCCACTTCAAACGGTGGATGTTCGTCCTTCAATGATGGGAACCAGTCATTTCCGACTCCTTCCCCTCACTGATTCCCTTCTGGATCAGAGTACACAGCATCCCTGCTCACTGCTGTACTGAGAACAACCTCAAGGCAATAGGTAATGTATTGGGGATTTATGTGTCTCATGATATAGAAGAGGCGATGGTTAGAGTCCAAATTGACGCTTTGAAACCCCTAATCAAGAAGAAAGCCATTCAATTCCCATCAAGGGTGGAGGTATCGGTTGTGTTTGAATGCATTAGGCTGGAGAAACATTGTTTTCTCTGTATGTTGCTAGGACATGAGAAAGAACACTGCCCGCAGCTCGCCAAATCTCGAGACTTTGACCCTACTATCTCCCATATCAACAACCTACAAACGCTACAGCACCTGGAAGATGATAGCCATAAGAAGGAGGAGAGAAGGAACAAGCCTTTCTCAACTCGTTTGGAGCTTCCTAAACAGGCTCCACCGCGTCAGAATATCTCTCCCTCTCTCCCTCCTCGTGCTGAATTGAATATCTCTGCTAATTGGAATGTTAATTACCGTGCTCAGGGTCACTGTGCCCAAGGTCATCACCAAAGTCTCTCTCGCTCTCCTCCCCGTAGGCTCTCCGGATCACCTCCGCGACTATCCTCTCGCTCACTACAGCGACGATCACCACCTCGATGATACTCTCGCTCACCTCTGCGACGCTCCACTGACAAGTATCATGTGCCACCAAACTCCAGAGTTGAACCTCACGATGATCGCCGCAGGATCACCCCTCATCGTAGAGACTCTCCACCTCAGTGTGAGGCTCCCTGTAGCTACAAATCCTCTGGTTCTCATCGGTATAACCAGAGTGATACGAGTTATCGGCGCGAGTCTCCACCTGCAAAAATCATGAACAGCAGGAGTCTCTCTTGACATGGAAAGACATCCTCGCACTCGAGCCCCCAGCGGAGTCCTCGATCCCCTTTACGAGAACCTCCGAGCTCGCATCGCAAGCTCCTCCTAGACCAGACTGGAGACAAACATACTCCATCTTCTTGCCGCATGACACCCGCCTCCAAAAGCCACGATCGCCTCAACTCATCTTCTAGCAGACTTCGACTATCAGCTTTGGATATAATAGAGGATCCAAGAGATTATCAGGAAAACTCTCTCCCTTCTGTTGCTGGTCTGAATCATAACGCTGGGGATCCAGATTGGGTGGAGAAAGATGACCTCTTGGACTCCCCCGAACAGGTTGAAGAATCACAACTCCAAGCCATGACTGTTTCTCAATCCAGAAGCAAATTCCAGCGCCGCCATGATTCCTCTGAGAACTCATCTGAAGCTACAATATCAGATCTTCCTCCTCTAAATGGAGAGAAGATACCAGTGACTTTCAGATAAGGTCCATGTACGATTCCTGTTAAACAAAGGCTGGAGATCCCAAAGAAGTCTACTCCCAAAAGGTGTGTATCAAAAGCCTCGACTAAACCTGCCACGAAGACCTCAGCACGCTCAGCCTCCAAGAAATTAGCGCCTAGAAGTCCTAGTCAAAACGGACGTATAAAGCGTCGAACTGTTTCGAAGAAAATCTCTCCAAGGAAGAAGCTCTGCGTTGAGACGAACAAACAACCCTCCATAAAGACGTCCAAGATTGCGACTGTTTCTGCTACTATTTCTAATATTGATGCCTCCAATGGCGAACTTGTAGCTTCTATTTCTAAGGTCTTAGTGCCTTCTGCTTGAAAGGGCTTGATGGTTGCCCAAAAACCATTTGCAACTAAATGATTAGAACCTGTTGGAACTGTCAGGAGATTGGAAACTACTTGACAGTTCGACATATAAAGGAATTGAGATTGAGTCTCTTCCGGACATTATGTTTCTCGCTGAGACAAAAAAATCAAGATAATGTTGTTTTCAGCGTATTTGAGTGGATGGGTTACGATAGCAGGTTTACGGTTCCTCCGGTTGGACTTAGTGGTAGTCTAGCTCTCTTTTGGAAGAAAGATACACATCTGGAGATTTTATCTTCTTCCCCGAACTTTATAGAAACCAAAGTAAAGTTCAAGGCGAAATCATTATATTTTACCTTTGTCTATGGTCATCCGATAAGCCAAAGACGACAAACAGATCTCGGAATTGGGCGCAAATAGAGAATCAGCCTGGCTTCTTGTAAGAGACTTTAATGAGATTCTAGACAACTTTGAGAAGCGCGGAGGCCCTAGAAGGCACGAAGGATCGTTCATCAACTTTAGAAGCTTCATATCTCAAAATGGATTATGGGACGTCAATTTCTCCGGTAATCCGTTGTCCTGGCAAGATATGCGATACGATCACTTTGTTCGAGCGAGACTGGACCGAGTTGTCTCAAACGATGCATGGATAGATGATTTCCCCTCGGGGAGATGAGAATACCTCCGTTTGAGGGTTCAGATCATCGCCCCTTATTCACTTTCCTCGATGACTCAAGAGTTATATGCAAGGGAATTTTCCGTTTTGACAATCGACTTCGCAAGAAAGATGAAATTATGGAGCTTATAGGACGAGTATGGAATGAGGCGGATAGAGCTACGGTGTTTGCGAAAATCTCTGACTATCGACAGGAGATTATCAGATGGGTCAAAGACCAAAACATGAATAGCGCGAAACTCATATCCGATACCCAGGGCGAACTGGAGAAGGCCCTTTCGGCGGATGTTCCTGATCTTGAGGTAATTGGACGCTGCACAGCGACTCTTGAACAGACCTATAAAGCTGAGAAACAATTCTGGAAATAGTGAAGTCGCATTTTATGGCTGCAGAGTGGAGATCGTAACACTTGATATTTCCATGCTGTTACTCGCAACCGAAGGACCTGTAACAGGTTTACTGTTCTGGAGGACGATGCGAGATCTGCCTTCCATGAAGAGCATGATTTTGCTCGTATCATTTCTGGGTATTTTCAGAATATCTTTTCTACTCAGGGCGATCCAGGTCCCCCACTGGCCCAGAACGTGTTGGTTCCCCAAATTGATGAAGTCACGAACGCCCGCCTCACGCAGATACCCAACACTGAGGAAATCCACACAGCTGTAAGAGCCATTCACCCGAGTAAAGTGCCAGGACCAGATGGATTCTCTGCTGGCTTCTTTCACACATACTGGTCCATCATTGGCCCAGATGTTGTTAGAGAAATCCAGGAGTTTTTCATATCTGGTTCCTTCCCGCTCCGACAAAACGAAACTAACGTTCGTTTGATCCCGAAGATTTTGGGCCCGAGGAAAGTTTCAGATTATCGCTTTTTGCACTTTGTAATGTCTACTACAAGATCATTGCAAAGATTATGACCAAACGCCTCCAATGTATCCTCCCATCCATCATTGCTAAAACTCAATCGGCTTTTGTTCCCAACAGAGCGATATCAGATAACGTTCTCATCACCCATGAGACGTTGCACTACCTCCAAACATCGGAAACAAAAAAGAGATGCTTTATGGCCGTTAAAACCGATATGAGCAAGGCATATGATAGGATAAAATGGGGATTCCTTCAGACAGTTTTGGAGCAATTGGGTTTTCACCCTCGATGGATCACTTGGATCATGGAATGCTTCGCGACAGTTTCGTATTCCTTTTTGATCAATGGCGGACCTCAAGTTCGAGTGCTCCCAGCTAGAGGTCTTTGACAGGGAGACCCATTCTCGCCATACCTCTTCATTCTCTGCACCGAAGTCCTCTTAGGACTATGTCGTAAAGGCCAAGAGGATGGATCTCTGATTGGAATTCGTGTGTCCAGGAACAGCCCACAAGTCAACCACTTACTCTTCGCAGATGATACTATGTTCTTCTGCCGCTCCGATCCTACCAGCTGTTCGATTCTGGCCTCGATCCTCAGAAGGTATGAGGCCGCTTCGGGACAATGCATCAACCTCTCCAAATCCTCGATCACGTTCTTGGCTAAGACCCTCCGTTACTTGCAAGATACGGCCAAACGGATCTTACGTATCCTGAGGGTGGCACTGGAAAGTATTTAGGCCTCCCGGAGAACTTTGGACAAAAGAAGAGGGACATCTTTGCAAATCAAGTGGATCGAATCAGACAACGCTCTCACAGTTGGGCCTCTCGCTTCCTTTCTGCTGCTGGGAAGCAAGTCTTACTCAAGTCTGTTCTCTCCGCTATGCCATCATATTCCATGTCCTGCTTTTAACTCCCAAAATCGCTCTGCAACCAGATCCAGTTGGTTCTTATGCAATTCTGGTGGGACGACAAGGTGGACCAAAGGAAAATGAGCTGGGTAGCATGGAATCGACTCACTAACCTGGTGAACGTTGGTGGATTAGGTTTCCGTGACATCAAATGTTTTAACGATGCCCTCCTAGGAAAGATTGGCGCACAGCTTTTATCCCATCCGCAAGCACTAGTTTCTAGGGTTTTGCTGGGTAAGTATTGTTATTCTACTCCTCCCATCATCGCAGGGAGGGAGGTGCTTCGGAAAGGCATGGGTTAGTTAGTTGGAAATGGAGAATCAATTAGAGTTTGGGAATATCCATGGCTTAGTTATTCGGAATCTCTTCGATCCATGGGACCACTTCTCGCGAGTATAGACCTTAAGGTGTCAGATCTTATAAATCAAGACCATAACTCCTGGAATTGGGCGCGTATTCGAACGACTGTACCAGAACTCCAACACTTAATACGACTGATCCCTCTCAGCTCTTCTAAGCTGGTGGACAAACTGGTTTGGCTACCAGTGAAGAATGGGAAATACTCAGTTCGATCAGGATATGGTATCTCAGCTTCTGAGCACATTCCAGAGAAACACCATACTTTTGACTGGCAGAAGAACATCTGGAAACAACGCACAATGCCCAAGATTAAACACTTCCTCGGGAAAGCAGCTGCTGGAGCTCTGCCTGTGGAAGTTCAACTTGCTAGTAGAGGAATTCAAGTGGATACTGGCTACAAAATCTGTGGCGCACCGGAAACAATTATCCATGTTTTCCGGGATTGCCAATTTGCAAGAGCGGTTTGGGACTTAGCTCCTCTGCGAGAGCTGAGTCATCTCAACACAGCGCATATCCTCGACTTTCTAACGCGAACTGCATCCCTGGTGAGCCTCCCTCCTGCAGGTCTAACTGCGGCTTCCTTCCCATCATGGATTTACTGGAATCTATGGACGGCGCGCAACCACAAACTCTTCTCAGATACCGTATTCTCAGAACAGGAAGTCTTGAAGAAATCCCTCGTTGATGCCATAATCTGGCAAGGAGCACAAGGACACAAAACACCGACGCCCCGAGCTCCCTCAGCCTCCCTTCCCCCTATAGCGCCAGCTAAAGTCAGCTGCAACGTTGATGCGGCTTGGCAAGCTGGGTCGCAATCGTGTGGGATGGGGATTGTTCTCCGCTTTAACGAGGAAGGGAGATCCTCAAGCTTCTCAAACGCACGACATGATGTCGCCACGCCCCTTGCAGCGGAAACCTGGGCCATTCGGGAAGCTCTCATCATTGCCCGTGACAACGACTATGAAGAGATTCAGGTGCTCTCGGACTGTCTGTCCCTAGTGAATTCTCTTCAGTCCCAAGAAACCTATACCGAGATTCATGGAATTGTAGCAGATATCCGTCTCTTGACGCTATCTTTCTCTGCATTTTTATTTTCTTATATGCCCCAGAATCTAATACCGAGGCGGATGTTATTGCAAAAGAATCTCTTCGA